TTTTTTTTTTTTTTTGAAATCTAAGTTTATTAAAAATTAAATGTTGAAATACTAAGTTTTGAGTTGAGCTAAACAAATTAATTGTTAAATGAGTTGTGGATAAATTTGTTAATAAAAAATTAATTTTAAAACAGATACTTTTAACATTATTATTTTTAATTCATATAAAATTTAATTGTAATTATGTATATATCATGTATAAGTCAAGGTTCTCGAGTTCATATTCATCAAAAATAGTATTAGGCACACGTTAACCAATCCAAAGACTTGGAAGTCAAAGTCGTCCTCCCTGAATATTTTTTTCTCTGAATATATTTCAAGCTCCATTTCAAATAGTGGAACAGTTCATTACCATTACCTTTTTTAGCTTCATGACCATGATCAAGATCAGTCACCACCATCAAACCCCTTCTCTTCCGAAGCTCAATCCCATGCTCATCTCAACTCTCCAACTCTCCTCCTTTCTCTGCCTCCTCCTCTCCACCACCATCACCGCCGCCGCCGTAGATGACAACAGCCCCTGGCTACCTTACACTCCCACCGACTACATTCTCCTCGACTGTGGTTCATCTTCTAACACCACCGACGCTAGCCTCCGGAGCTGGGACGGCGATGTCCGCTCACAATTCTCGCCGTCGAACATTGAAAACACGTCGTCGAATGCTACATCCTCCAAGTCTGTCATTCAAGTGCCCTACAAGACTTCTCGTATCTTCCACTCTCAATTCACCTACTCATTCCCAGTCTCTGCCGGACCAAAATTCATTCGTCTCTATTTCTACCCAGTTAATTACTCTGAGCTCGATATTACCAACTCTTTCTTCTCCCTCACTTCCAACGACTACACCCTCTTAAACAACTTCAGTGCCTTCCTCACTGTCTCCGCCATGAAACCCGCAGTTGCTTCCCTTATAAAGGAGTTCATCGTCAATGTTAGGGACAACCAGATACTGAATATAACCTTTTGCCCTTCTCCGAACTCTTACGCCTTCGTTAATGGCATTGAAGTCGTTTCAATGCCAGAAAATCTCTACATTCGCGGCAATGATCATCCAATCCCACTAGTGAGCGAGAACCAAAGATTTTATATTGATAACAACTCTGCTCTTGAGACTCTCTATAGATTAAATGTTGGCGGTAATGAGGTCTCAATAACCAATGATACGGGAATGTTTCGATTATGGAGTCCGGACGACGATTACACCTACGAAGATTATGGGTTTACACCTCACAGGGACGTCGCAATCCGATATAGACAGGAGACACCACCCTACACTGCACCGAAGATCATTTACACAACCACAAGGACCATGGGCAACGACAGTTTAAGATACAATCTGACATGGAGATTTCCTGTTGATACTGGGTTTTATTATCTTCTCAGACTCCATTTCTGCGAGATTCAATTGGAGGTGACCCTTGAGAACCAAAGGGTTTTTATAATATACATCAACAATCAAACGGCAGAGAGAAGAGCAGATGTTATCTACTGGAGTGGTGGTACTGGAATCCCGGTGTTTAAAGACTACGTCATTATGGTCACCGACCCAGATGGTCGTCGGAGCAAGCAAGACTTGTGGCTCGCTATGTACCCTGACCTCCACTTTAGACCTGAGTACGCTGATGCTATATTGAATGGTTTAGAAATCTTCAAATTGAGTGAAACAGCTGGTGTGAAGAAGCACAATAATAAAACATCTAGTTTTCCGGCCATTATCGGCAGCGTAGCCGGAGGAGGGTCTATTCTAGTCTTGATCTTTGGTTTCTGGATTTTTCGGCGACGGAGAAGAGTGAAAGACTTGGGTTCAAAAAAGCCCAAGTCATGGATCCCCTTATCCAGCGGTTTATCACTGTCGTCCGATCTATGCAGACGCTTTTCACTTGAGGAGATGAAATCAGCTACATGCAACTTCGATGATAGTTTTGTCATCGGGGCAGGAGGATTTGGTAATGTGTACAAGGGCCACATCGACAACGGTGCAACCACCGTTGCGATCAAGCGACTGAACCCATCATCCAATCAGGGGGTCCACGAGTTCCAAACAGAGATCGAGATGCTATCGAAGCTACGACACCTCCATGTCGTGTCGTTGATTGGTTACTGCCATGACAACTGTGAGATGATCATAGTGTATGATTATATGGTCCACGAGATCCTCCGTGATCATCTTTACAAATCAAATAAACCATGTCTTCCGTGGAAGCAACGCCTTCAGATTTGTATTGGTGCAGTAAAGGGATTGCATTATCTCCATACAAGTGCGAATCGCACGATCATTCACCACGATGTGAAGTCCACCAATATTTTATTGGACGAGAAATGGGTGGCTAAGATTTCTGATTTTGGATTATCCAAACTGGGCCCATAGATGCGGGCCATAATCACGTCAGCACAATGGTGAAGGGTAGTTTCGAATATTTGGATCCAGAATATTATAAACGACAACAATTGACAGAGAAATCGGACGTGTACTCATTTGGGGTGGTTTTATTTGAGGTTTTATGTGCTAGGCCGGCTATAATTCTAGATTTACCCGAGGATCAAGTGAATTTGGTTGAGTGGGCTCGCCATTGTTATAAAAATGGGACCCTTGATCAAATTGTTGACCCTAATATAAGGGAGGAGATTGCGCCAGAGTGCTTGAAGAAGTTTGGCGAATTAGGTGATAGTTGCTTGGGTGAAAATGGGTTCAAACGACCAGGAATAAATAATGTTTTGTGGGGCCTTGAGTTTTCTTTGCAACTTCAAGAGGAGGCTGAGATGAAGGGTCAAGGTGATGGTGGTGGTGGAGGTGGAGGTGGAGGTGGATTACAACCGGTAGCGTTGGCCAGTCCCTTGACTCCTCCTCTGCATGGAGAATCAATGACCGACAATGATGAAAATGTGTTAAGATCAATGACTAACAGTGACAAATTAAAAAATATGACTCTGTTCTCAGAGATCATGAATCCTATGGGTCGATGAGAAGTGAAATGTTCTTGGGGTGGGTCCTACGTGAGGTTCCAGATTTTTGGTCTTCACTTTGATTGACTTTTGAAAAGTAAGTATTTTATGCCATTTAGCTTATATTAGTGGTCTTCTTGTTTGAGTTATTTACCGCAATATAATTGTTTTTTAAACTTATTTATCTATACACAATACTTTTCAACTTATTTATTAAATTACGATATTATTTAAAAAAGTGAGATTATTGATCTTGTTTCTAGTTGTAAAGTTGCAGTAGAGTTTTGAATTTGAACTTTTTATATTTTTTTATATATCTAAATATACACAGCGTGTAGAGTCTAATTGTCTGACAATATCTCAGCTGATAGAGTTTGAATAATACTATAACTCAACATTCAAAAGTATATGGCAGTTGAAGTTTATGAGGATTAGACTCATCCTCCTATTGTGTAGCAGACTCAATCACACTCAAAATATCTTCTTCAAAACTGTTTTACAATGGAATTGTTGACTCCTTTTTTTTTATTTAAAAAAAATAGATTACATTGTTACAGAAATTACGGAGTCCGATATTGAGGACAATTTTAGCAGTTTGTGTGAAACAAAAAAATTGCTCTAATACAACNGACCCTAAAAATTTGAATCATATCTAAAATAAAAAAATAATATAAAAAAGGTTTATTATACTAAAGTGGTAAATTTTATGAAGGTCTTCTATTTTTTGGGCTTAATTAAGTAGGGAGTAATTTTGGATCTAACAAAATTAAATATTGATTTGAACTGATAAAATTTGAACCTTAAAAATTTTAAACATATTTAAAATAAAAAATGAGGCTTACTATATTAAAGGGATAAATATTTTGGGGGCTCTCTAAAATTTGGGACCTCTCTAAAATTTGGGGCCCTAGGCAAGCAACTTAGGTGCCTAGGGATTGGGTTAGGCATGAGATAAATAAAAAAATTGGTTTTATCTAATTTTTTTTGTTCCACAATATCTTTCATTTTATGAAACTAAAGCATAATTAATATTTTTTCTTCCAAATTTATTTTTATTTCTATTTTCTAATAAGTGCTTAATAAATTAAGTGTAGACTAAGTGTCTTTCATATTCTTTTCTTTTTTAATACGTATTGAATAAGAGTATTTTANTACTTAATAAATTAAGTGTAGACTAAGTGTATTTCATATTCTTTTCCTTCTTAATACGTATTGAATAAGAGTATTTTAGTCTTGTGCAATTATTTTTTACTCATACTAGAGTTATTTAATAGCTTCCTTAATCCCTGTGCAAAAACCTTAAACGACAGATATTTAGGAACGGAAAGAGTAATACTTAGCGACAATACATGTTTGTCGCAGAAAAAAAAGTTAAAATTTTTTTGCTTGGCGACAATTTATATTTGGTTGCAAAATATCACTACAAGAAAATTTTTTTACTGCGATGACTTTTTTGCAACGTGTAAGAAAAATTGTTGCAAAAAAAAAAAAAAAANCAGAGGGGACGTATCTCTTCTTAGGACAACGTTCATCTCGCACCTCAAACCAGGCTATTCTAAACTTATGTTATATCTAAGTTCGATTGAGTTTATTTGATATATTTGCATGTTTATTTAATTTATGAATCTGTGTTTTTATGTTTAATTTTCTAACAATCTAAGAAGAGATAAAATTAAGTTTAGAATAACGTAGACAAACTTGTTTTTTCTATTTGTTTATTCATTTCTCTTATTTGAAATATGAGTACTANAAAATAAAACAGTAGTTTAAAGACAAAAGGAGGGAGGATAGGGAGCAGTTCAAAGACAAAGGCAAACCAATATCTTTTATTTTTGTCCCACATCGGCAAATGAGGTGAGATAGGGAGGGTTGACTTGTCTATAAAAGGTAGTGGTCTCTTGCCTTTGTTTTGTAACCTTAAAGTTTGATTTTTATGTAAGATTTGACTAGAAATTACACTTTTTTTAGGTATGTACAAGTAATAGTAAAAAAAAATGGAGTATTAAAATTTATTTATATAATTTTTTTAAAAATTAANTGCAAGTTTAGTCTCTGAAAAGTTAACAAAATCTGCTTCTGATATAGAAAAAGACTACCTGTGTTATGGTAGAATTCTTAGTGCACTTACTGAACCTATCTATGATATTTTTTGCACTACTAAATCAGCACTAGAACTTTGGGAAACTTTAGATAAAAAATATGGTACTGAAGATGCTGGACTAGAAAGGTACTACACTGAAAANGATTTATAAAATTTGTTCATTTGTTATTTGACGTCGAAATAATATTAGTCGCAAAAAATGTACCTTAATTTTTAGCGACAAATATTATGTCATCACCAAAGAGAAAAAATATGACTATAATATAATTTTTTTTTGACGACTAAGGTTTTTTTATGACAAGCAGATAAATTTTTAAGCGACTAAATTTTTTGTCACTAATAATTTACTTTAGCGACGATACTTTAGTTGGTCGTCAAAAACTTTCAATGGCGAGCCTGTCCCGATAAATTGGCAACCAAATTTTTTTGTCACAAAAAATTTTTAGTGGCGAATTATTCACTTTTAGCGACGATTTTTTTTTCCTACTAAAAAATATTTTTCTTGTAGTGTATTAATTATTATTCACAATAAAAAAAATTAGGTAGACAGAGGGTTATGGCTCTTCCACTATGTATTAACTATGATTTATAACATTATTTATAACATAATAATATATTTTCTACCTTTTTCTATCCTCCACCATATGATTATCTGCAGCTAGGAAAAGTTAGCAAACAACGATATCATTTATATTTCTTAATCTTCTTTTGTTTAATCTTATTTTTGAACAAGTTCTCCCTATCAGAAAACGGGACANCAATATCATTTATATCTCTTAATCTTCTTTTGTTTAATCTTGTTTTTGAACAAGTTCTCCCTATCAAAAAACAGGACAAAAATTCTCCAATCGTAATACAAATCAGTTGAAAAATCTTTTAGCTTCTCTCTCCTGCCATCTAGTTTGAAAAATTTTATCTTCTCTCTCCTTCCCTCTCTCTCTTTCTCAAACACCCCTCCGAAATTGAACAAATCACATATATATAATATTTTTTATTAATATTTTATATACGAAAATTATTCACGTGCAACACACGTGATTATTTGCTAGTATCAAAGAAAAATATAACAAAGTATAGAGGAAAATGGTGTTTTGGTCAATCACTCTATCTCTCTCTCTCTCTCTCTC